CCTCACTTGCGATTGATCTTATGTAGTTGAATGGCATCCCGAGCTTTGCCCATTGACAGTTCGCCATGCCTGGACCCTTCCCACCTGCTGCACCCACCACCCCGTCTCGTGCAGGGACCACTGCCTCCCTGCTGGGCAACATACCGCTGGCCATGCTCCTTGTGGGCGCGCGGGGGCCAGGGCGCGGGGGTCCTCACTTGCGATTGATCTTATGTAGTTGAATGGCATCCCGAGCTTTGCCCATTGACAGTTCGCCATGCCTGGACCCTTCCCACCTGCTGCACCCACCACCCCGTCTCGTGCAGGGACCACTGCCTCCCTGCTGGGCAACATACCGCTGGCCATGCTCCTTGTGGCGAGCGCCAAGCTCTTCACGCCAGCCCGCCCTTCACCGGAGCAAGCCTCTGCCCCGGGGCAGCGACGCAGGGTGCGGCCCGTGTCCTCTCCGGGCGCGGTCCCTCCCGGCGAAGACCCGCTGCCCACCCTCCGCACACCCCCGCCCCCGACCGACTGGCGGGAGGCCGTGGGGAGCGACGTGGTGGCGCACGCCTGGCACCTCCTCTGCGGCTCCATCGTCCAGGAGGTGGGTGGTGTGGGGCGAACCCGCTGTCTGCACCAGGCCCGGGTTTTCGGTGTGGGCCGGTCCTGGCATCCTGAGGGCATGGCCAGGACCTGGGTCTCCTGTTCCCGCCAGCACCCACCCCTGCCCGCCAATCCCCGCGGCGCAGTTCATCTACGACGTGTGGTACTCGGCCGTCACGCCAGACTGCGAGTTCCCCGCCAAGATCCGGGCCCTGCTGAACGACGCCTTTGGAAAGCTGGCCGCGCGCTCGCGGCGGGCCGACCTGCGTGCCGTGCTGAACGACCTGTCTGAGCTGCTCATGGAGCAGGTACCCTTGGAGGGAGGGAGGGCGGCGGGAGGGAGCTCCGCACACTTCTGTGGTTGACAGGGGCTGCCAGGGCCGCACCTCGGCGGAACCCTCGTTCTGCATTGCATCCTGTCGCTGTTTGGTTGGGACCCCTGTCCCCTGTCTTCACGACTGAGGATCCCTCAAGGCCCACGGATGTGGAGGGGTGGGGTAAGGTGTTTGTGTGCCGTTTCCCCCCTTCCCCTCCCCCCCCCCCCCCCCCCCCCCCTTTGGGCCCCCCCCCCCCCCCCCCTCCCCTTTACC